ACGTTTTCAAATCATTTGCAAGTCCAAAGCTGAATGACAAAAAGGCAACTTTTTCTTAAAAAGGCAAGGAAAAGTTAGATATACAGCACAGAACTATATTCTGACAGCTCTGCACTGTGATTCAGAAAGGAGAAAAGGCAATCTTGCACCTGTGCAGTGAAGTGCTCATCTTCAAGACAGCAGCCAGTGAAACAGTAACCTAACTTAGCTTTTAAACACTCCTGTTCCAAAGGCTCTGTTAATCTGTTCACCGTTCACTCGGGAAATGGCCTTCCTGCTCCCGAGAAGCAGGCAGAAACGAGACCCACGTGCAATCCTGAGAGATGTGCACACACAGCAGCACAGTGTTTGCTTCACCCACTGACACCCAGCTCTGTGCCACTCCCCTGAGCGCGGGAAGAAGTGCTGGGACAGATGGGAGGAGCGGTGCAGTGGTGACAGCCCTCACCTACAGCAGGGATGGGAGCCCGGCTGGCTGTCTGCATCTTGCACAGGGAAAAGCACGTTGTCTCGGACAGCGGCATCAAATGTGCTGCCCTCTTCTAGCAGGCTTCCAGACAGCATTTTGGGAGTGTCACTCCTCACAACAGATGGTCTCGTTTGGGGTACGGCCTGGAGGAAGGCCAACCTGTCCTGCTATCAGCTTGTCTAACCTGGTCTTTGAAACTTCATCTCGTGGAGGCTGCTTGTGAAGGCAGAGGACCCCACATCTCCACTCGTTACAACTGAAGTTTGTTACCTCTTCTGATTCCAGCAGCTGTGGAGCAGGCTGTACTATTTCCTCCTCATTTTACAGCTACCTTTAACATATCTGGAACACACATCTTCCCTCAGCAACCTCTGAACTAATTACACCCTGCTATTTAACTCCTTCCTCACATGTCATGTTCTCTAAGCCTCTGGATGTTCTGTAGGCAATCTTCCAAATCAACGCTCTGGTGGGTTTCATCAAAGGAACTTTTAGGGCTCCAAATATGGTGAAGGGTACAGAAGGGAAGATGAAGAGCGGCTGAGCCATACATCCCTTCCCTTCCCAGGGAAGCTTCTCTGTGTGAAGCTCCCCACTGTTCCCCAGCACCGTGCTCATGCTGGAGCACAACACAAGCTTTGGGGAAATAGCCTCACCAATATGAGCCCTGCACATCACGCCTCAATCTGCTGCTTGTGTCTTCTCTCAGAGGTGCTGCTGAAGATGTTCATCAGGGAAACTACAGGCACTTACAGGCATAACTCACATCACTTTTAGGATTGGAGATATTGCCACACAGCTCTTGTGATCAGCACCTTATATCCATACTACAAAACTGCAATTCCCAAAAGCACCATCACCTCTACCGAGATAGCATAAAAGCTTATACACGGTCCAGAGAAACTAGAACAACAGCCTTGATTTTAAAACACTAATCCATGCTTTAGAATTCCAAGTTACTTTAAAACGAAGCTCAATTTTGATGCTCACGGAGCATAACAGTTCAGTACTTGGATCCGAAAGAACGAGGAAAACACGCAAGCCTACACCTGAAGAAGTTGACTTGGATCTATACAGATAATGCAGGATATTCCCTTAAGACTTTGGGACAGCAATGCCAACAAAAGCAAAGCCACGTGCCACTCAGGGTTTACAAGTCCCTTTTGGCCGCAGCACAGATTACTGCAGTTAGTTATTTGGCAGCCGCTCCTGCCTTCAGAGCATCACGTCCCATTGAAAAAACGTCCGAGCACCAGGCAGATCAGTCAGGGTGTGCCCGAGGCTCCTCCCCGCCCTACAAGTCCCAGTGCTGGCAGCAGCGATCAGACGGAGGTTGGAAAACTTTTCCATTCACCGGGCCGTTCTCGCAGAGAACACAAACTCCGAGTTCTGAATGGAGCGCAAAGGCTGATTTACGCTTAAAGGGACACTTCCTGCACAGCAAGCTCACAGAACGCGATACCGCGTGCTTTAAAAGCTCTCGGGAGAAGAGCATCAAGAACCGCTCCCAAAGCGCACGCTCACCTTGCAGCACCTCGCTCCCCCTCCTGCTGCCCCGGCACGCCGCCCTTCAGCAGGGATCCCACCCGAGGATCCCACCCCCATGCAGACCCCCCCCAGCCCACCTCTCAGAGCTCCCCAAGCCCTCGGGGTCCCCCTCCCACTCCAGCTCCCCACGGCCTCACCTCGGGCGGCCCCCTCCCCTCGGCTCCTCACCCCTCAGCTCAGCAACGCCCCACTCACCTGCAGCCCAGGAAGACGTGGTTGCTCCACAGGACGGACAGCGCCAGCAGCCGGTCGATGGCGGCGCCGGGATAACTGTGCAGGTGGCGGAGGATGAAGCGGCGGCGCGCAGCCCAGTGCCGCTCGCTCTCGCTGTACTGCCGCCACCGCTCCAGCACCGCTTCGGGCGCCGCCTCCGCCGGCGGCGGGGACATCGCTCAGCAGGCACGGCGGCCCCGCCCCGCCGAGGAGGGAACGCAACCGCCGGGCACGGGGCCGGGCGGCGGCAAAGGCGGCCCGGGCCCGGAGGTGAGCAGGCCCCACGTGCGGCCCGGGCCGCGCCTCGCCGCCGGACGCCGGGGAACGCCGCCCGGCCGGTCCCGGCCCGGCCTGCTCCGGCCCGGCCCGGCCCCGCCGGCCCCACTCTCCACGGCCCGGCCCCGCGGGAGCGCGCTTCTTCCCCCCCCTTCTTTCTCCACACCGAACCCGGCCCCGCTCTCGCGGAGCGCACCGGCGGCCTCTGTGTCACGTGGCCGCGCGAAACATCGCGAGACGGCACGAGAGCGTAGAGCCCTCCCCGCGGCGGAAGGGCGCCGCCCGGCGGCAAGAAGCGCGCGGCGCTCCGTGCTGCTACGCAGAGTGCGCAGCGCCTACGGAACGGCCGCCTGTCGGGAAGCCGCCGCGCCGCGCCGGGCTCACCGCGGGCAGCGGGGGGCGGGCAGGCGGGCAGCCGGGCAGCGGGCAGCTTACCCCGCGCCACGGCAGAGCGCAGCACAGCGCGGGCTGCCTTAGTTGCTGTTCGAAATGGGCCTTACCGCCTCACAGCGGTGCTGTGAGATAACCCCACCGGCCACGTGGGAGCAAGGCTGCTGGGCAGAAAGGGCACGGACACCAGTGAAAACACACAGCTGTGACTTTATTTCTCTGTTAAAATTAAATACTTTGTTGCTGCCACCATCTCACGTCGCACCGTGTTTCACCTTCCCTTAGATCTGCAGTTCCCCAAACCGACCCAACGACAGCGGATTGAAAATACCCCCCAGCTCCAAGCCCCGTGGAAGCCCGCAACATTTATATTATTAAAGACATAATTAGGAAGAAAAAAAAAAAGCTCCTAACAGTATTTGGAAATGTATTAGCTACATCATTAGTCCAAACATCACATCTGTGTTCTCCAAACCCGCGGGTAACCCACCAGCCCCCCGCTATCCTGTCACACAGATCACAGGACACCTCATTTAGATACCATGCAAGTCAGTACAGAGCTTCTTACCCCGACACTAACACTGAAATTTGTCCCCCCCGCCCCAGCCAGAGGACCCCTAACCTCTTCTAGAAGTGGCAATCTTCTCCCTCAGACCCAGTGCAGCTGGCGAAGACAGATTAAAAAAAGCTACAGAGAGAGAAAGGGGAAAAAAGAGAAAAAAAAAACAACAGAAGATTAGCAAAAAAGAGAAAGACATTCAAAAAGCAGAGAAAAGAGATGCAACATGAAAACAGCTGACAGGAGAGGCGGAACCTCCTTCTGTGAGGTCATGTATCTCATGGCACCTGCATGGAAATCACACAAGTAAAACACTTTTTTTCTTTTAAAATACTTTTAATTGCATTCTAATAAGGCAAATGGTCAGGAAGAACAACCAGCAACTTGCAGTATGGGTTAAAGAAAAAAACCTGCATTAAATGCTTCTTTTAAAAGATAATCTTGAGACCTCTGACTGGTTTTGGAAGGGGGCACTCAATAGTAAAGAATGAAGCAAACCACTCAAACTAGTTTAACTTGCTTTAAAAGAAAAAAAAAACAACACGAGTTGTACAGGAAATAAAACTGTATTCATAGCAAAACTGAGACAACACATTGCAATCAAGAGTTCTAGCTGCCTTGATTGCCCAAAGCGAAAGGCCGGGCTGCAGCCTGTTAGCATGAGCAGCCAGCCTGCTAACACAAAATGAAGCCTGTGAGGTTTTAGCACCATCCCAAACAACACCTTCCTAGAAAAATCCTCAGCAGTGGCTTGCATTGCCTATCCTGGCTAGCTCTGACACCTGCTTATCTTTCAAAAACCTCTGGGCTTGGAGGGTTTTTGTTGCAGTTCCAACAGCAGACACCCTGATGTTTCAGGACGTGTGGATTCCCCCTGCCTGCACACAGTGCAACTGGAGGATCAGGGACACAAGTAGAAGACTGCAATGGAAACGCCCATTAAATGCCAGTCTTTACATAGCATTATCCAGAAATAAAAATAGTAAAGGATAAATGATGTCATGAAAATGGCCCCAAGTATGAAGAAAACTTTTTAATCTCTTGACTATTTGATAATCAAACTAAGGTGGTGGTGTCATCTTAATGTCACCAATAAATACACTTAAACCGTGTTGTTATTTTGCCAGCAAAAATAACTCATCTCACAGAACTTATTTTTACGTTTTCCGGATAGAGAGGGACTGAGAGAAAGGGGGAGGCTATTAACTGTATGGATTAAAAAAAAGAGAGAGAGAAATTAAAGCTGCAGTGTCCCAAACTCGTTAGGACTCATTTTATATTATTTAACAAAGCAATAACCACCAGTACATAGTAAGACAAGTTCATAACAAGAGTATAGCAGAGAGCAAGAGTAACACCATGGAAAGGTTACAGCTGAAATGCTGTCACGTTTTATTAGACCCTGTGATTTAACAAGTAAATGAAGGTCCATTCCAGCCCATTGTATTCAGGGATAATTACTCAGTACAGAGCCATGGGTTACTGTAAAAGAAGGGCAAAGAAAACAAAAAAAAGAAAAAAAAAAGAAGTAAATGTTAACCAGAATTCACTGTCTGATGAAGGCTTTATTTAAAAAACAAACAAACAACTCATCCAGAAATACACAGCAAAGACACCTGCAGGCAAACTGCAGCTGCACTCGGCCACTGGGTGAACTCCTGGCCCCAAAGAGCAAACACCTTCTCTTTTAGTGCAAATCTTGCATTAGAACAAGGCTTTTGTTGAATAGAAAATATAAGAAGCAACTTGCCAACATCTGCACTCTTCTAAACAGATGTAAAAAAAAATAAAAATTAAAGGTGATACTTTTTGCATTAAGATGAAAAATTTTTGGAATCACTGAGAAGAAAGGCAAAGAAACGTCATCATCTTTCTTCACAGGCACTGGTGTGTACAGCAAGGTGACCAGCTTTCCCTGAGATTGGATCCAGGATGTGCATCCAGCCCAGCACACTGAGCAGAAGACAAGGCAGGAGATCCTTCGTGACCCCTGCAGCATTCAGAGAACACTTAGTTGCAAACCATGGATCCAAGTCTGAAAAATCCCCCAGGCTTGGGAACTGAGGATTGGATTCAGGCCGTCACGCCTGCGAGGACGTAAAGTTTGGCAAAAAGTCCTTTAAGGTGATTTGATTTGCACACGACAGCGCAGCAGGGCAGTGACAGGTTAGCTACTGCAAACTAAAAAGGTGAGAGGGCAGCCCTTCTCTGGACACCACCCACCGCGTTGCGTTTGCAGTCGACCCCTGGTGGCACGAAAAGCACGCGGCTGAGCAGCTGCTGCCACCATGCAGCCTCGCACAAAACGCAGGGGAGAGACAAAAAGCTGCGTAACTGAGGAGTGGTGATGCTACAAGCGCCTGGCAGCTGCTATGGACCACAGGGGGAGTTATCAGCCACAAGCATCTCTGGCCAGTTCCACAGAGGCTGTTGCTGAGTTCTTCACAGAAACAACTGTAACCCAGAACAGCCAAGGGTGCGGACTGTGGCTTAGAACAGACTGGTGAGCACAGGAAGGGAGCAATGAGAAAAGGTGAGCAAACAGGCACAATGGCATGGCTGCGTGTTAACCGAATGTGGGGGCATTCGCTTCTGGTGCGAAGGGAAAGGTTCTACAGGAAACCCGAACTGAAAATGAAAGAAAAAGGCAGATTAATGGTTTTATGGATTAATGAAAAAAAAAAACCCACCAACAACAAAAAAAACACAAATATGCTTCCTAACACACACACACAAACAGGAAATGTTGCTATGTGTTAATAAAGTTTAATTTGACTACAAAACATGCTTTATGCAGACACACACACACACTCAGCAGTGGGATGAACCACATTGCTTCTCTAAAACAATCCTTTCACAGTTTTTGCCAGCTACAGAACTCCTCAATGGTGACTTATTTATATCCTTGCAAAACACTGGGGCCTGCAATACTGTATGGATCAATATTGAGAGTATTATTCTGAATTCTGAAAAAGTACCATGTATACATATTTAATTCAACTAGGACAAATGCCCATTGAAAAAGGCACTGTCTGCGTTTGTATAGTGGAAACAAAGATCTTTATTTGATTCCAAGCCCAACACACAACAGTGTACAGTTACACGGGCTGCCAAAAGCAATCCAATCCCAACAGGAATCAGTAATGTTCACTCTCAACTGCACTTTAGCTGTGCCTTCATACTCAGCACCAGAATGAACGCTGATGTTCTTTGAGTTTATTTATCCACATTCAGACCCTGGAAGGCACAGAATTGGTCTTTTCATTGTATTACAGTTACTGCTGGCAGCAGAGGCATTCATTCTACCAGACTGCTCAAGACGACAGCAGTGCAGGACCCTTCTGAAGCTCTTCTGCCCCACTGAAATTAAACTCAAACACCTCTCACTGACAGCATAACGTATGCTCGCTTTTCAACTTCTCTTGGTGGAGACAAGAGGTATGGAATTGGCTAATCAGCTGTTCCCCACTTGAGGGCAGACCACAAGATAGTTAGGATTCTGTCTGATAGAAAACGTAAATCCTAGGTTTGTGTGCAGGGAAAGCTGGCCTAGAAGCTGAGTTGTCAGGATGTTTTATAATTAAATGCTGCTGCTCCAACATATCCCACCTCAGGGAAACCTGTGCTCAGGCTGGGGATGCTGTTGTCCTCATACTGGGTAATAGATACTGTTGCTCTGTCAAGAAGCAAGACATTCCCTTAAAAGCTTTCCCTCTCCTCTCACCAGAGAATCAACAGCAAATTAAAAAGGCTCATTTAAAAACACTCAGCACAGCTGTAAGTAACCCACTGTCATTAGCAGTTTAGCTAATAATGATGCTTTCCTGCCAGGCAGGTGCATTTCTTAGACATCTTTGTTTAAATTAGCCTTCACTTTGCACTTCCCACTGCAGATGCTTATTTATGGCTACGTTTGTAAACCCTTTCAGACACCCTTCTCTGTTCAACAAGCCTGCCAATGACTATCCAGTCATTTCATATCCCTACTAATGTGGAGACAAAGACACTCTGGACAGACTCACAGCGGGACACTGCTGACAGAGCTCTGCTTCAGTGGGAACCCTCTGTGCCCTGGCAAAACTCATCAGAGGCTCGGATGCTGGCCTCAATCGGAGGCAAAGCGCTCTGGCAGGCTTTCTGGCCACAGCTTGAGCACAGCCCTCTCCTTCCACTAGCCTTACCCAAACCACACACACTTGGCATGACTCCCAGACATGCGCCTGCTACAAGTGAATATCCATCCACAGGGCAGCCCGCTGGAGCATTGAAAATGTCATAAAGTGTCTTAGTCTATATTCAGAGCTTTCCGTTATCTGCTGAACACTCCACATCTCTCATGATTTTAGAAAATCAACTACAGTCAATCGACAATACTCACACACTCTTTCTCTGGTGCTTTAGGATAAATGAAAACTCTAGTTTGGGTAGACTTTACCATCTGTTGGGAGTGGAGGAAATAGAAACTAGTTTGTATCCTGCACTGTAACCAAGCTAACCCTGTGACTTGAAGGGGTGGGAGCAAAGGAAGGAGAAGGAAGGAAAGAGATCTGCAGGCTAGCTGGGCTCCATCATCACATCTCCATAGCAATTGTTGCCATAGTATCGACATGGCCTATGTGATTAAGAATCTCATTTATTTCTGAGGGAGTCAGAAAGATAGAGACAGCAAACTGCTGGAAACATTTATAAGGAAGAGGGCCTAATCCTTATCTTTCCACATTTAATGTCCAGATATTGATTCCATCTGCATTTTACTCTGCCACATTTTTGAAGACATGCTTCATGGCATCCTTGTTCTACAGCTTTCTATAGAAACAGAGTGAAAAGCCCGTACAGTAAAGGTGAAAGCAGAATAAGACAGAGATGGTAACACTTAGAGGCTTCTGGAGTTGCACAGGGTCTGCTTTTTCAGGAACTGTAACTGATCCCACTGTGAGGTCTATATATGTTAATGACGCTTACCAGGACAACGTGCCTCATGCACCATGCAGCCAAACAGCAGTTAACTGTAAAACAGCATACATGTAAGAGCTAATGATGATGATGATGATGTAAAAATAATAAAAAGAAACCAAGCCATGATTAGTGCAAACTACTGAGCTTTGGTCAAAAAGAGTAATCTGTAAAAGAAAAAGACTACTGTACTGCCAGCCACTATTGAACAAGACACAGTTAAGCTACTGGCTTGTGAAATTCATGGATTGTTATAGAGATTTATGATCTAAACACAAAAATGAATCATTAAGGGCAACTGGAGAGGTTAGAGTGAAGAAAGCTCAGCCATTTTTAACACTGTTGCTTTCCAGGAGGAGGGAGAGACAACCTAATTTCTTCCCAAGCCTGAATCAAGCACTGATCTACCACTTGCACAGAGTTCACCCTGCCCCAGCATTAATCAACAAGGATGGTACCAGTGCATTTTCATAGGAGTATGTTTCATGTCAGGAGTGCTTCTGAGACCAGAACTGCTTCTAGGAACAAGTATGTGACTTGGACCACAGCTACTGAGCGCTCATAGTACAGGGCATGTCATCTCCCTTCTGGGCATTCCTGACCTGGACTAATCTCAGCTCAGAAGTCTGCAGTCCTCAGCATGCAGACATCTGAGAGCTGTAAGCATGAAAAAAACACAGCTGTGTACTCCTCCCAAAGGCTGGGGAGAAAAGTCTGGCCCAGTTCGTCTCAGGCTCCTCAGTACAAAAGCACATTAAAAACCCCTGAAGGTAATTCAAAAAGGCAAATCAAAATACGCACTGGAAAAAGGAACGGACAAGTGAGAAAAGGGCAGGAGCACTAATTGCTCATTGCAAAAGAATGTTGACACTGTAGCAGTTCCAGCTCAAAACTAAAATGACTAAAACAGGATCTGATTCTGGTTGTTGGGTCTTTCCTCTCCTGTCTCACTTGATTCCAAGTATAACAGTTAAGGGTTATTTTTCCTGACAAGCAGTCCTCTCAGCTATCTGGGCATGTGCCATATTCTTTATATTAACAGCAGTTCCCCATGTACTAAAACTGCCTTGTACAGGCAGGATCTACTATGGATTTGCTTCACGAATGTGCAGAGAGGAGATGATACAACAATGGTATAAAAACAGACACTCGTCTATCTGCACGCTGCTCTTTGTACACATGCTAAAGTGGGACAGCCCTCCCTTTCAGATTATGTACCACTTCTCATTGCTAGGTAAATCAGCTGCACAGCTGGGTTGCTATTGAGGAACCACAGCACATTAAGATATCCCAGAGCATGAGACACTGACAAGGGGCTGCAGATCCTGTCACGCCATTCCCTTGCATGGGGAATCCTTCTAAACCTGTGCATTATCTCTCACTGCTTCTGGGAAGGTCCAATTTTGGTATAAGGCTGTAGAGACTACTACTGCTTTCAGAGATTTACTCTTTGCAGATTCAAGAATTCAATACTGTTATGTTCCCTGAACAATTTCCAAAGCTTTTTCTAAATCTATTCAAGACCCTCAAATAGGACACACTCCTCTCTAGGGTAGCAGGATATTCCTGCTAACCACACCCTAACCTCCTACTTCCTTAGAGACACTGACAGACCAAAGGAAGGGCACGGAATCCCAGCAAACTGAACCAAGTTCATTCTCTTCCATGCTGTCAGCAACCAGTAAGGGAGGCTGGTACTGTGCTCCCTGCTCCTGAGGATGACACGTGGAGCTAAAATACATCCAGCTACCACTCAGACTTACTAGGGACTGTATCTGTCTGCAGACCTTCCCCTGATAAGGACTGGCTAGGTTGGGAAAGAGATACGAATACCCAGAAAATATTAAAAGAGCAGCAAATACCATCAGGTTAACAACTTACTTTTTTCTTTCCTTATCTCTCTTAAGAGTTTGTGATCCTCCAGCCTGCTGAGCCTGAGATTGGAGCAATTCAGCTGCTGTCTTCCTCTGTTTAAATGCATTAACTTCATCATCCAAAGATTTCTTCTTATCCTCCAGCTTCTTTTTTTCATCCTGATGTAACTTCTTCAGACGATCAAACTTTTCATGGAGCTAGAGAGAAAAGAGAGAGGTGAACTCTACCAGCCACTCTGTTCACAGAAGAAAGGCAGAGGATTCTCATGAGATCTCAGCCCACAAATCCCTGTTGGACTTCACATTGTTTCTTGCACCCTGACCAACAATGCATAGACAAAGGGCAGGAAAAGTCTTCTTCCAAAGCATCCTGCACAACAAGCACTATTCTAGTGAGGAACCAGTGCACAGACTAACAACAGAGGACTGGGAGAGCATAATCACTAACAAATAAATTAATAATCAATCCGCTTCATTTTCTTAACAGAGTTGTTGGCCTTATTTCTTTTAAAATGCAGTAGTGAGTTTTCATGCCCCTCCCCAGCTCTAAGAAAGTTGTATGGGTATAATTTTTATATTACAAGCTTGTATCAGGGGTTCCGTTTCTCTCCTTGAATTTTGGCATGCCAAAACTGTCAGTCAGAATCAAAGTGTGTGGCACTTTCATGGCACACTAAGCTGTCCTGTAAGGTTGCCTTGTACAAGTACATTAATTTACCACATTAAACTTTAGCTGTTTTTGTTTGTTTGTTTGTTAGTTCTTAATAAACTAACTTTAATAAAGTAAACTTAAACCACACTGCAGGAAGTGTGTGTGGCAGCAGCTGCCTACTTGGAAGTATATCATGCATAACCACAAAGAGACAAGTACTGTACTGCTCACCTCTTTTTCAGCTTCCTTCAGCTCTGCTTCTTTTTCCTTGACCCTCTGGACAAACATTTGCCTCATTGCCTCTTCCTTTTTTTGCAGTTCCCCCAGAAACTCATTTCTTTTGGCCTCATAAGTTTCTTGTAAGCTAAAGAGAAAGAAAAGCCCTGTGATACAACTGAAGACAAATTCGACTTTCCCCAAGTCTCTCAAATCAGGCTTTCACCATGAATACTGCTTTCCTACCACCCACCCATGTATGCTCAAAGTCACTTTATCCAATCATTTCCGAGGTATGTAAGCTATTGTACTTTCCCTATATGCTGAATGTTGGGCAATTCAGAGAGACCAGCTGGCAACAAACACTCGTGCAGGTGGGCACCTCAGTATCCCTGCAGCACTGACACTGTTACGTCTGCCATTTCAGTCAGTCCTGCACGTGCTCTCTGTGCTTTCACCTTCTCCCCCTCAGCCGACACCTTTGCTGAAGTCTAGGTTTATCTGACCTGGCAGGTTTTCTTGCCACATTGGTTCTTTATATGCTCTCCCGAGGACACACACAAACACTCAGTGCATCCAGCGATGCTTCCTCCCTCAAACTCTCCTTCCTACTCCAGGGGTCCCACCTGAAGGGCTTGCTGTCTGGATCAGTGTCCTTGAAACCCATCTCTTCCAGTTTACACCTCCGGTACAGCTCGTAGTGCCGTGTGTGGGTCTGCTCACGAAGGTCTTCCATGTTCACACGGATCAGCATCTCCCGCAGCTTCACAAAATCACAGTGAGCTTCATTCTCCACTGTAAGAAGACATTAAAGGTAAGAAAGGGGTAGAAACAAAGTTCTCTTCTCACATTCCCCGCTGGGCCACTCCCCCAATAGATTTAACAGCCCTTCTGAACAGAGGACACTGCTGCTATTGTCCTGATGCAAAGATTTACTATTACAAGGACACAAAGGATAACCTCCAAGAGAAATTTAAGTCCAGCAGGTCCCTACTGCTCTTACAAGAGCAAGTCCACTGCCTCCTGGTGGAAATGTCACCATTCATGTCATGAAATTTTCACATCTTGACTCACCCTGCACTGTGCCCCAAGGGTACTGACGAGCTTTCATCATTTTGTTTCCTATTTTCAACTCCTCCGTGCTCCCAATCACTGCAAACGGCAAGTGGGCCTGGAACACATTTAATACAACCTTTGTTAGTGCCTCTCAGCTCTGGTTGACTGGATAGCACACAGAGATTAGCACAGACACTGTGCAAGACACTCATTACACACACGCTAATCTCGGGGAGTCTAATCACTGGCTGCTAGCCCAAGACAAGGGGGAGAAGGGAAGGTCCTTTGTGGAAACCTTGTTAGTGCTACCACTCTATGTCCTCTACCTGGCTGATCCTCCCAGCCACAGGGTCTCAGGTGAGATGAGCCAGTGCAAAACTAGCATCAGAGTGACAGCTGGAACACAACGCTGTGCGGCTCTGCCTGCGGCGCTGTCCCAGGGGCTTGCGGTGGCTGAGGAGAACATCTGCACAAGCACAGAAGCAATAAACAAGCCTTTTTTTTTTAATCCCCCTCCCACTCCCTCGGCTCATACCAGAACACAAGATAACTTGCTCTATTCCATCAGAAAACTGAAGTCTCTCCTTCTACCCAGATTAACAGGTTTTCTCCCTGCTTGCTTCATCCCTGCACTTTATCAGCTTCTGCATCCACTGTTCAGGCCTGCTGTTGAGGTCTGCTGCTGGCTGAGCTGGGAAGGACCCTACATTTGCTGAGCTGCAGTGAGCCTACCCAGTACTGATACCAGCTGGTGCTGCCCATAGCATGTGCTGGGGCTCACCCTCACTGCTCCTTTATCAAAACGGCATCTTTTCTCAGGTTCTGAAAAATCCAAAGGCATGTTGATGGCTTATAAAGTCCTTGTGATACTGATGGCTGTACAGCAAGAGGGCAAAGGAGGCTGAATCGAGGGATCAAGAAGGGACCCAGAAGAGAGCAGAGCACAGCTGGTACCACTAATCGACTGTGTCTCGCTACTCTCTTTAAGCCAGGCCACACTCCATAAGAGACAGTTGTTTCCAGTACCTGATGCTTAGAAACAAGGAGGAATTTGCTTGCTGTGACCCAGAAACACAGAATAGTCACTTCCGTGTAAAGAAGGTTCTTCTCCCGTTCTGTACAGAGGTTAAGAGACTTTCCCAGTACAAATTCAGCCAGGTTGGAATAGAACTGCTCCCAACACCTCAGCAGAGCTCACCCCTCATTCCCCAAACTCAGGCAAGAAAACCCCATCTCTGCTATCTTTGCTGCATTTGTCTGTTGTGCAACACGTGAGGTCTCTCCCCACTTCTGCCTGCTCCTGGGAACCATACAGCCTTCCTCCAAGCTGCAGAGAAGTCGACTGCAAGGTTTCAGTACTTAAAAATAAAGCTGCCAGCTCCATGCACTCAACCCTTCTGCTGAGTTCTGTGCAGAGACATTTGTTAGCTGGAGCCTTTAAACTGTGCTTGGTTCTGGGCAATTAAAGTGCCTCAGGTTGCCAATGTATGGAAGATCAGTGACCCCAGATTGTTTACAGAAGTAAGTAGAGAAGTTTTAATTTCGCAGGTGATCTGAAATAACGGAGAAGTGAGTAACAGGACAAGAAAAAGATTTCAGGGTGTTTTCTACTTTCAGAGTGTGACTCATACAGCCAAATAGCAACGCTGCTTGCAAGCACTCTCAAAGATGGGCTCTTCAGCTTTTATTGCCTGGCCTCACAACTCTCTCACGAGGGACACAGCAGAACAAGTGGGGCTTCGTGGTCAGTCTGGAGGGGCTGCTCTGGGCTGTGAGGAGGCCCTGAGCACCACAGCCTCCTGAGGCACCCTTCACACAGTTACTTTTACAATCGTGTTGACATGCCAGCACATGGAAGGATGAGTGTCAGCACAGAGCTAGGCCTATTCTGCTAGGGGTTCACCTATCAGTACCAACTGTTCAGCTGCTGTTTTTGCTAGGCAGAAAGTGCTGGTGATTTCCTTTTCTAAAAGTAAGTTCCAGCTCCCACCATGTGGAGCAGACAGCTCATATAGTTGCACATGGCTTCATTTAACTACCAGGTGTAGGGAGAATATATTCTGCAGTAATTAAATGAATTCATTCAAAATGGAAAAGCCAGCTGGGAGCTGAAAGAATAGCAGAGATTGCTTTTTGTATTATGATTTAAGAATAAAACCTGGATGGGAGGGGATCCAAAGCATTTTGGAGAGTATTTTCAAGTGCTCTCTACACCTCTTGTAAATGTACACACCGTGAGATTCTCAAAAAGACCAAATTGATTTCAAGCAAAATCAGGCATCTTGTTCTGAAGATTTGTTTAATCCGACTGGTATCTAAATACTGCACTTGACACCTCTGTTCCTGGCTAAATACTTCTTCTGATCAGAATGGCACAGATTTTGTATCTTCGTTTCTGTCACATCAGGCTGTTTCCTCTTTGTTCAGTAAGTCAACTCTGAACGCAAAATACTCTGAAGAGAATTCCTTATGCATCAGTATAATAACCTAGAATGCATATTAAGTAATGAGTTTGCATATTTTAAAACCTAATTTTACTTGTCATAGCAAAGATAATCAAAGCAGGTCATAAGCAAAACATTAACTAATCAAGAGATCAGTCTCAATTTTTCCTGCATTAAAAAAAAAAAGAAAAAAAGAAGAGGTAGCTGATGTAGAATGTTTGCTGCTCAGCAAGAAGCACGATTTGAGCATTGATAACCTTTCAAAGACATTAATCTGTAACAGACAAAGACAATGAAGCTTTCTGTAGAAAAGCACAAACACAAAGGTGAGGGCAGCTGACAAAAATTGAAGTCTGCTGTTCAATTTCAAGCGTGATTAAAACTGGCAGTTTAAGTTACAGACCTCACACATCCCATTCTAGCTCTTTTACTGGTCTCAGTCCCTCCACAAACACATCTCCTGACCTGTAACATGGGTAGATTTGTTTTCTGTAAAATTAATATCTAGATATAAACGTTTTGCAGGTCTGCAAAAGAGCCCTGACTTCATTCAGGTTCTAGCCTGTCTCGTCCCCATAAATCTGGTGTATGATCACAGCCAGAACCACTGATTGCTCACCTGGGGAAAGGACTGGGTCAGCCCTGGGAGCACAGGAGAAAGCAATTCAGCTGTGTGACAGAAAGGGATGGAGCCTGGCTGCACCCCTCTTAGACCCTATTTAAGGGCTGACTGCCACGGGGGAAGGATCTCTGCTTGGAGATCCCCCCACTGTGGAGTCTTTCCTGCAAGCCCAGATCTTCAGAGATGGGTGAGCACCTTTACTTTCCCTTTGAAATACCATCCTATCCATGCTGGTCCCTTTGCTGTTACAGTCCTATGTTGCCCTTCCACTGCATCAATCTTTTCAACTGTAACACCTGGTGATCATGATTTGCATCAGTTTAACAGAGGATTTAAAGAGCTGATCTCTCTGTGCATCAGTTGATACAACCCAGAATGCCTACAACAGCATCATATATGTTTTCTCTTCCTACTCTGAGAGTGACCAAAAGCAGACATTTGGAAAAGAGAGAGGCCACTGGGAGAGGAAATACCCATCAAGGATAACAAGGCTGTTTGGTGTGAAAAATGCAGAGCATAGAACAGAGACTACAGACAGTCTGCTCACTGCTGCAGACAGATAATATTCATCTGATTATTCACAACACAGGACTGGCCATGCCCAGCATGGCCAGACTTCACCATCTGTCCAATTCCCTGCACGAACCTCAACACTTATGCATTAAGACAAAGAAGGGGTTAAACTCCATCTGCTTTCTGACTAGAAAAGCCTGCCAGAGAGCCAGTAGCCTTCCTCAAGGCTCTGCTAGCATAGGATGACACTACAAAAACATGATCCTCTGTTCTTAGGAGACAAAATAAAAGGGAAAGTGGAATTAAGGAACATTCCAATATGGGCCACCACCCCTACAGTGACAGACCTGTTCTGGGAGAGCAGGAAGCAGAGTCACTTACATTCATTGTTCCATTTATCTCTGCCACTGATTCATCATCTGTTGGGAACTGGTAGATCTGAACCCCGTTACTGACCAGTTCACTTGTGATCTTGATTTTAAACTTGGTCAGCTCACTTTTGGAAATGGCATCAGATTTGGCAATTATAGGAATAATGTTGACCTAGAGAGAAACAGAGAGGTAAGTCCTAAGGTTGGCTCCAGGTAGTTTTTCCAAGTCTGTAGTACAACTTACAAAAACTTAAAAGCACTCAGTAAGTCTAATGGATTCATCTGCCAACTGGGCCATAGCTTAAGGGCTATGCAGGTGGAGAGACAAGGCCTGGAAAAGCAGCAGCATTTCCATCACGTACACGGTGACCTGCACAGTAACAGTTAAAATTGCCTACCTTGCTGTCAAGCTTCTTCATTGTTACCAGGTCCAAGGATTTCAGTGAGTGGCCTGTCGGAGCAATGAAGTACAAGCAAGCGTGGATCCGGGTGTCATGGTAATTATGCAAGACCCTCTTTATCTTCAGTTCTTCTTGCAAGTAGGCTTCAAACTGAGCATCGATGAACTCAACAATGGGCTTGTAGCTTTGACGAAAGGAAAAAGATTTTTACATCTCACAGAGGTTAACCAGCCCTACTCCATTGCTAGCTTTTTAAAAAAGAGCTGCTGCTTAGCTATTCACTTCCCAGGACCAAGTCTTTCAATCTCCCCTCCTCCTCACCCATATGAAATATAAATGTTGCACCACTGACAAGATGTGGTCTTGCATCAGACTCCATCAGCCTGTTTGACAATTCAGCAGAGAGGAGAAACACTACTAACAGGGGCTACAGAGGCTGTGGGTTACTACAGACTAATTTCCTCCAGAGAAAGTGGCCTCATACTTCAAAATGTGAGAGGGAGAGATGCTTTTCAAAGGAAGGGTAAAGCAGACTCATTGGCAGCAGTGTGTAACTCTTGCTTGCACCCAGGGAACGAATGGCTTGCTGCTCTCACAGTCCCAATTCCTACAGGTGAAAGATGCATCTCCATTCACTACTACCTTTGCCCGGTGTTCTAAGGCAGAAAAACCCTGCAACTTCCTTTCCAAGTCCATCTGAAATACAGAGCTTGTCAGACTTGCAATGCAAAGAACATCAGTGCATCTTAAAACTAAAATGAGAATCCAACAGACCCACAACAAAGCAAACTCCACCACAATGCCTCTGTGAAGATGGACATTAGAGAGAACCTGGTGGAATTACACACTCCTTCACCACCATGCTTTGGTCCTGCTGGGACATGAGCTGCCAGAGATACTTCCCAGATTACATTTCAATGATTACTCATCATGCTTCCACAGGCGAGATGGAAGAGTGGCCTGCCAGAAGCGGCCATTAAACCAAACAGTCACTGGTCCACACCAGATGTTTGGTTGCAAGTTTGCATTCAGTACAGCACAAGGCAAAGAGCACAGAAATGCCCTGCAGCATTCCAGAAATCCCCACCAGATGAACTTGGGCAGAAGGCTACCAGCGGGCCAGATATTGTTCTGACAGCGTAACAAAAGCTGCTCTGATAGCTGCAGCAGTGATGACACACCACAGCCTCTCTCCTCTTTTCTCCCTGTCCCATCCACAGAAGATGACATGGGCAACTTATAAGAAGGAAAAAGGAGAGTCTGGCCCAACTAGGATACAAAAGGAAAGCCTGCATGAGTGAACTGGGTCACGCTACAGCATCTCTGCCTTTCACTTACCTGTCCTCTTTGTTGATTTGATCCCCAAAGCCCACTGTGCTTACAATAGTCAGTTTGAGGTTGACGTTGCTCTCTTGCAGGTCATAGGTACTGGATTTCAGCTGGACCCCAGGCTGTGAGTGAGATGCTGGGTCACCTTCAAATTTGGTGTTGAAAAGCGTGTCCATGAGAGTGGACTTACCAAGGCCAGTTTCCCCTATTGGACAAAAAGAGAGACAAAATGTTTTGTTGAATATTAACATGGCTTGCCCTTTCAGTAAACCCTGTTAATTCAAACACTAACGAGGGTGAAACTGTAGCAGATGAAAGCAGATCTCATGCTCCAAAGGGATTGTCTGGCAAGCAGAAAGGCATGTACAATGGGAGGTCTGTATTCTGGGCAAATTACATTTCACAGTCTAATGGCCATTAATATCATAAGAAAAGAGAGATGAAAAGAAAGAGTTGAAAAGGCAAGGGGGAAAGCATCACTCAAATCCTGCAGATACCCATAATGCACTAAAGATGCTGCTGCTTTCATCAGTAGGCAAGGAGAGGAAGGGAGAAATGGGGCCCACGGCCTCTTCTTAAAACAGATGCTCCAGGTTAGTATTTCTGTAATTAGCAGTCACTAAAATAGCTTGCTTCAGTACAGAAACACTGAGTCGGTTCCTACCCTACAGCAAGCTGTGCAGTTGGTTTCTTGTACCCACAATATGCTGAGTTGGGGGACAGCCTTCTAGCCTGGGGAGGGGCATTTTCTCTTATATCTCATTTCCATACACCTAGGGGCTGTGCAACTTACACTCAAAAACCTGCTTCCAAAAGCTCTGCAGCACTGAACTGTTATTTGGATTCCATCTATCAACAGAGAGCTGTTTCCTTATCTGGCGTGAACAGACAAATCTGAGAGACCAGTCTTAAATTTGTTTTAGATACATCCCATGGAGAACAAAACAAACCTCCATTGCACTCATTCCACAGGGCGGCCTCCCTTGCCACACTGACAGCAGAGCCAGCCCTCCAAGTCCGCAGGATCTGCCTTTGTGCTACACCTATCAGCAGGCTGCCCTGCTGCCCTGGGAGGACCACTGTGTTTTGGGGAAACCATGATTTCAGAGCTGCTCTTCTGGCTTTTGGTGCAACTTCAGCAGGCAGCTGAACCCCACCCACTGCTCCAGGCCCACCAGGGGGCTGCGTCTCACTGAAGCAGCCTTCCCTCCTTCCCCAAGTCTTATATCCAGCAAAACCATGAATATTTTCCTACTTCACTCAGAAGAAAAGAGCTGCTCGTTTTCGTAGGCTTCAAGCTCTGCAATAGATCCAAAGTTGCATGAAATGCCCAATTCAATAAGGGGAAGCTCCTCCCCTTCCTCCTCCATCCAAATCCCTGTGCCTCACCCCTGCAAGCAGGCAAATTCCTCTCTGTTGGCCCAAGAGGAGACTTCTCCAGCCCGAGGCTGAAGCACAGGGTAGCGCAAAACTCCACTGCCCTGGGAACTGCACACCGTCTGACTGCCTGGACTGAATATCAGTTTCTAGAAGGCAGCAAGAAAGTCAACAGACACCTTGATCTGCAAAGGCACCTGGGGAGCCAGCCAGCAGCCAGTGCCACACTGTGCTAGGTGCAAACTCGGTGGCTCCTCACACTGACCTGTCTACAGCCCCAGGGGGAGAAGAGTCAGCACCAGCAGTGTGAGTTGCTGCAATCCCACCCTATTTGGGATGTAAGGGTACCACTTTCCACCAGTGGGTGCACAAAGCATGGAGCACTGCTGTGGTTTGGGTAAGGATTTCAAGAGTTAACATGAGAAAGCCTGCATGACCTCACCAGGCCTCTCTCAGGGATTCCAGGAAAACAGCAATGTAAAAAAAAAAAAACCAAAAAACAAAAAAACACACCCAGACAGACATCGACACAGCTTGAGAAGGCGGCAGCATTTCCAGAGCTCCTGCCAAGGGTTCCTGCCTGGGCGGGCAGGATGGAGCAGGGAGCCAGCTGCATAGATCCCCAGTGGGCTCCTGGGGACAAGGCAGCTGCTCTCCTGCCCTGCACTCCATCCCACAGGCAGCAGCCCCACACCCAGCCCTGTGGCTGCCGACAGCATGACAGAGGTGCAGCATGACACCGTGGGGCTGGGAACTGCTGTCTGCAGCCAAGACATGAGGTCCCTGTGAATGGTAGGCAAAATACACCGAAAACTGCCCCTTATTTCTGCCTCCCTCCTCCTTTAAGATGCAAAGCATCCACGTGAGGACAAGACAGACACATTCAGATACATCTCCCATCTCTTAATTGTTGCCTACTTTAAACCAATTTCACATCTGGTTTTCAGCAGCAGCAGTGCAGCAGAGATGGAGGCAAATGCTGAAGATAGAGTACATCTTTATACTCCCATCTCCTGCATGCTACACAGGGCCAGCAAAGGTGACTTTGAATTCAAGATGAAGTTTTCCTTTTGAAAGGGGAAGTTCTAAACTGCTAAGACATGACTGCAGAGGCAACAGTTTCCCACCCAAACACCTACAGCTCCATGTATAGAAAGCAGAACGCCCAGCCATCACCACAGCCAGGTCAGCATGAGCATTCCGGCCTTGTACAAAGAAGGCTCTGCACTGTGTCCCCCACTGCCCAAGAACAACTCAGCCACAGGAACCATGGCATTGGCTCCAAGAGCATGATGTGAGACAGTGAATGAAGTGCTCTGCCACATGAAATGCAACTTGGAGCAGTGCTACTCTGAAGGGCAAACTGACAGAACAGAGCATTTCTGAGCCTCCCAGGAGTTTCTGCCCGAAACAGAGGCAGCTCCCTGCTGGCTAAGAGATGTAACCACTGCCAAGTGCTGCTTGGAAGGATGGGAGTCCAGATGGAACAGATGGGCTGATGAAAAGGACAAGGCGACTGCACTCGCTCCAGCCAGCAGCGCTGGAATCTTCTCCAAAAACCAGAAATGATGAATGGGGATTAAGGGAGGCAGATTTACCATGGAAAAAGCAGCAGTGTATGCAAATAAAGCAAGAGACGTCCTTGGCAGGGAGATTATTGCCTGATGTCAGGCTTAGATTTGATCTCCAAAACTGTACATAAGCATTATGCAACCTTGCAGCAGTCTGCTCTCCAGGCTGGCAAAGTGCTGAGGACAGACAAGGTAGGAATAGTGACCTTTATTGTTAACTCTGCGCCAGAAAGCTCTGGCAGCCATTGAAACCCAGTAGCATTGTGCCTTCTCAGCATGGGGCAGATTTTAGGGCAGCCAAGCCCTGGACATGAGGCACCACTGCCAAAGCACCCTGCAAGCTAAACACCACTGCTGCAAAAGCTGAACCTCTTTGGGTCTGGTGATTCGACCTGCTTTCCCCCAGCAAACAGCTGCCTGCTGCCCCTCCACCTCCAGGCTTCAGAGCCCCAGCTGTGTCACCCTCAGCCCGCTCTCCAGGAGCACACAAGAGCCCTCAGAGCACTCAGCTGTTCAAAAGCATGGAGTGTTTGAACCCCTGCAGAGTCCTTTCAAGAGAGAGCAACATTTGCTCTTCCCCAGATTGACAACCACGGCTCCAGATATCAAATAATGCCATCTTAAAGAAAACGTCTATGTGTGCACAGCCCTTTCATGTGAAGAAATGGGAGCTAATCCAATGTAGCAGGTTTGTCAGGACGAGCCCTGAGGCAGCGCAGCCTGATAAGGCTGTCTCTCAAGGAGAGCAGAAAATAGTTCTTCTCATCTGACAGGCGGAATGGTGAGGCAAAGCCAGGCTGCCAGGGGCAGGAACACGGGTCCACAAATGATGCTGAAGAGCTACAGAGGGCCCCGCGGCCTCCCAGCTGCGCTGCTGCTGCACAGACCTGTGGCTCCTCAGCTGGAGGAATTCTGTACTCAGCTGCTTGCACTACCGACTACAAAACCAACCACTTGGCATCCTCCAAGATTCCATCTCACCACCCCACAGCGAGCTGCTGCTGGAGAGCAGATGGCACGAGGAAACCTGTGCACAGCCCTCCTTTTCCCAGCCGATGAACGCTCCCACGTCTCCAAGCTCCTCTGGAGACCCAGCGTGGGGCTGAACGTAATGCATGGTGAAATATCTGGCTGGGGTGGTAATTCCAGCACAAACTGAATGCTGGGAGGTAATAAGCCAGAAACCATTGGGTCCAGTCTGGGAGCTACTGAGTATGCAAAGGAAAGAAGTAGAAAAACAGGAATCATTCTTTGTGAGAGGCCTCAAAGTTGTAGCACTCCTCTGGGAAACGAGAAGGTAATTTCTACAGCAAAACAGTGGTTTCTCATGGCACTGAGTAGGCTGCTTAGAACAAATCCCTTGCAAATTCCGGGAGGGAGGAAGGAGGAAACTCCAGCTTATAATGTGATGCTAGTCTAATACAGCTATGATCTGGCCAAAACAGAGAAAATTTACCAAATGAAAACCTCAGCTCATTGTTCCCGTCTCTTTCCACCATCTCATCCAGCACAGAATGTCTCAACCATCAAAGACTTCCCCAGCCTTTGTACTGAACTAACGGATGAACATTTCAGCACAGAGGCTTCAGGAAGAAAATGGCTGTGCTGAGGAATATCAGAGAAACCATCCACAACCCCTAACTTCTGAGAGCTTTGCTCAGCTGCTCTATCTTTGGCTCTTGTCTGACAGAGGAGACAGCTTTCAGCAGGAGAACAGCTAAAAATTGCTCTAATCTGGACGCTCTGCTGAGAGCCATTTTTGCAGCTTTCCTTGGCTCCTCCAGCAGGAGCTGGAGGAATCAGTGGCTCAGCTCCAGCATGGCGCAGAGTAAAGCTGTCACTGGATTTTTCCCCTGACAAACACCACACACAGCTGAAAAACGGAGAGAACCAAAGTGCCTTTCTGTCACGTTCAGCAGCCTATGTCATCAGTTCACTTATTTGCTGTTTTGTTGGCCTCAAGCCTCATTTGCTTTATGTTCTTTCAGTTCTTCACCCCAAACTCAGGCTGCACAGGTGAGACCCAACAGTCTAAATGAAAGATGGATTCCGGGAGCTTTTTTTTTTGTTTTTCTTTCTAAGAGTTTAACTTTGTTACCACAGTTTCAAAGAGGCTCTGCTAAGCCACCTTAAAGTAGGTGTCTGTCAACTAAACATTTGCAAATCTTTTTTCAAGGGAGTTCATTACATTTTTCTATGTAATAAACTCTCCTCTTTATTTCAGACTCAACCATGTCTGTGTTGCTACTATTCATAAAAGATTGACATTAATAACTAATGCATATTGATCTTGGCAGGTCTTTGTTATTCAGAGGGACAAGCAATTACTGCATTCCAATGCTGCTCTGCAAAGAGAAAAGTAGAGGTGTTCAACTGCTTTCCACACATCCAGGGGAACCTTTAAGCACAGGAGCCATCCGCTGCTGCACCTATAACTTGTAGGAAAACAACCAGCAGCTCCATGTGTGCAAAAGGAAATACTGTCAAACTTCAGCTCTGGGACACGAGAGTTTCACGAGCCCACATCTCTTTCCTGTACAGTACAAACCACCTACTGACTCAGCTTGACAGTGACCTCTACTTGTCAGCAAAGTTTATCATCTCACGGGAACGTCCCTGTCAGGGAAAGTTTTCCTCTCAGCTCCATTTAGCAGTGCTCTCTCTGCACTTCACTCCTCTCATCTCAGACTTAACCCTGCCCTGGGCACACAGGACCCTGTTCCAGGTTGGCACCCTGTGCCAGATCTCTCACAGAGCAGGACAGGCAGCCTCTGTGTGGTGTGGGGCTGACCCCAGCTGAGACATGTAACACATGGCAGCACAGGCAATCACACCACCACAGCGTGGCCAGGCACTATTGTAATTCAAGTATGTCCTAAAGGAAGGAAAAAAAAAAACACCAAAAAACAGCTTTTAATGCTTTAAGAGGAACACAACTGGTATTTTGTTAAAATAATTATAATAATAATTCAATATCTAACCACACAAGACCTCTGAACAAAGTTCTCCAGCACGAGTACCTCTTTGCTTTTAGAAATATGAAATTGAATCACACCAGGCAAATAGAGATCATAATAAAAGCGTGGGATTTTAGGCATTTTATTCCTACGGTTCACTGCTTGGTAAAAAGCCATACTCCATAACGCCAGCAGGGATTTCCCAGGGCACCAGTAAATCATGTTATTTAGAACAGACAGAACAGAGGGATTGGAAGTTTAAAATCAAAGCTACTTTGTTAATTCTGTTACTTGTAAGCTACACCCAGCTGCAGAGGCCTTTTCAGCAACAGAACTTCCCCAGATGGAAATACTCACCCACACACAGGATGTTGAAACAAAACCCATGATTAACTGACTTATTAACCAGCTGGTCAGGCAAACTGTCAAATCCTACGTGTCCAGAAAGGGGGACAGTACGACAGCCTTCACCCTGAAATACAAGGAAAAATACACAATTGGTGTCATTCTCATGCAAAATACACTTCTCTCTCCACACCCCGAAGACCTCCCAAGTGCAGCCAACTACACAGTCTGTGCACAGATTTTACAGACACTGTAAATCTTGCCTGTGCACGCTGCCCTTCTCCAAAACAAACCCAAACAGCACACATAAAACACCCCATCTGCCTTATACGAGATGGTAGCCATGTCAGAACAACACTGAACTGTGCAAAGCGTTCAGTGCTCAAACATGACGGTCGAAAGAGAGGTGGAACAACGTTTGTTCCCTGAGTAACTATTGAGAGACTCAAGTCTCACCTTACGCTGAAAGCAAAAAATAATAATCTCCACGGCAAAGGAAGGTATTAACGATGCCTCCTCACATGAGCCTATTACAATCCACATACAGCTTTGATTACAGAAATAAGCTAGCAACAATGAGGAAATCTGTACCTCCATCTGGTATCTGAACAGCCCAAACACAGCTCCTGCACAGCTCGCTGCTGCAGCACACAGCAACACAGAATGCAGCCTTTGAGCTGCCAAACACAGCAGTACCCTCCCTCCCCTCAGGCTGCAAGCCCGAGCCTGTTCAGATTCATAGGATGGCCATGAGCACCAGGAGATGTGGAGACTGCTGAAGAAAGCACAAGGGGGGTAGTCTGCATGGCCAGGCAGTGCCACAACCCTGCCGATCTGTGCTTGTCTCACGTTCCCCTCCTGCAGCCCCCAGAAAGGTGTTTCTCTCTCCAGATCAAAAGCTCTTTTCTTAACAAGCTATTCAGAAGCCAAAGGTAGAAAATTCCCCTCCAGCCATTTAGGCACATCATCAGCTCACATGAGATACTACAGCCAAAAGGCAACTGTTCATAGGGGTATAATTCTCAATTTATTCCTTCAAAACCCTCCTTTAACATAAATAAACCTGTTTGTAGGGACAAGCGTGCCGTTTTTCTTTGCTAACTACACCAGTGTTTCAGGCTAGAAAAACACCTCCAGGGAGTGCATTACTCCAGCAGGCTGTCAAAGCACCAGGCCTTGTGTGATTGCTGGTTTGCTGGTGCAGCTTTATTCCCCCAAATGTGAAAATCCAAATAGATTTCAGCCATTAACCATATCTGCAGCCTTGCAATGTGTAACTGTGTTTCCCCACAGCCATATTTTGTCTATCAGCCTGATTCTTCCTGCCAAGATGTTCACCCAGCACCAGCACTATGCCTCCAGACCTTACTGAGCAGCTTTCACCCAAACAACAACGCAGTGCTGGAATGTGTGTGGGGCTGTTCCCTCCCCGGGAAGGGAGTGCACCGCCCCACTGAAGGAGAAACAGGAGGACAGGGCCTGCAGACAGCATCCTTCCTGCGGATGGAGAGCCAGCACGGGTATCTGTAACACACAGCCCTCAACCTGCACGCAGGAAGGCAGTCTGAACGCTGCTCTCTCCAGGAAGCGTGGGTGGCTGTGTGGGCTCTCATTAAGAACAAATCTTCTCCACAGCCCTAAATATAAGCGCTATCCAGATGGAAAAGAAAAATAAACAGTCAAAGTTAAACTACTCTGGCTCGGAGGAGGCATTTACCCCGCGAGTCATTTCCTGTGCACTCCTCTTCTCCTCACCTGTGGTTTTATCACGCAGTTACAGAGCCTTTCACGTTTGTCTCAGGCCAGGAAACGAGCGCTGCAAAACGCGATTTTCTGTTGCAGCAGCTGAGGCACCATGTCAAACACAGCTATGTGGCACACACAGCTGTAGATGCCCCAGCCCAAAGCCTGCAAGGCCAGGACATTGCAAGAGCCTGTGTACTAGAAGCAGATTTGGAGGTGTCACTGCTGCCCATGCCCTACCGAGTGTCAGATGGACGGCCAAGAGCTCTTGCACCTCCCCTGGCTTTGAGCTGGCCTGGCTGTGCACCAAAGGCAAAGGTGGGCAGTGGGAAGGCAGTGTGAGTGCCGGCACTGCCCCAAGATGCCCATAACTGTGTTTTTCCCCACACGTGCAGAACGACCTCCGAGGAGAACAGGCTGTTAATGCTGAGGAAGCAGCAAAGTGTGATTAGATTAAAAGAACAAAAAGAGCAACATGTGCTCCTGCTGCACTGCCAGGCAGGGCTATCTCAGAGCAAAACTAAAGGTCGGCCTCGTGAATAAGTTGTTTCATTTCTCCATCTCTGGAGGATTTTCACATCTTTTCTGAAGGCTCCTCCACGCCACAGACACCACTGACCCAACTCCTACAGAGAAGTACCAGATCGATATAGGAAATGCAGAGATGCTCTAACAATGTACTCCAAGCCTAACAGCGCCTCACATTAAATAGCAGCTTACACAAAGGGCGTAAGGTTCAGACTGCAGTTCTCTCAACCTTTACAGGGCCCTCAGGATGAATAGCCACGAGAGCAGTACCCAGACCCTTCTGCACCAGGGGGTCCCACACTGTTGCTCCAGAGCAGGACAGAGAGACCTGCCTGAGGCATAGCTGCCCACGAAGCCCCACCACAGCGCTCAGCATGGCTGCTGCTGCCTCTGCTGAGAACCAGGCCGGGAATTCCTGCACTGCAGCAGGGCTGCCCACACCAGGAGGCAAATAGCAGATCCCGAAGCCAGGAGGGTCCCCAGCCCTGTCCATACAACAGCTTTTCAGATCGCATTTAAACAAGAACAGCATCGGATCCCTTCCCCTGACGTTGGCCTTGTGGCATCCTCTTCCCCAGACTGCATTTGGCTCCAATTCAACAACAAAGCAGAGCAACGCTCGTACCAATTCATTCTCGCACGTTCGGGTCCGTAATTCTCTCTTGCAATTACCCAGCAGACAGCGATGACGCTCTCCGTGAAACAAACGCAACGCACAAACGTCAAGCACAGGTAAAGACTTTGCATTTCTTTCCCTCGCTCAGCTGCTAACAGCCCAGCAGGACGAGCACAAAGGAAGAGCAAAAGAGTGGGAGCAATGGACCGCATCCAGCCAGCCACCGAAGGGCCGAGCACCGCCCGCTCTCAGGCGCACCGCATCACGCGAGCGCTTCGAAAACCGCCGTTCCGACCGCCTTTGGTTCCGTTCCTCGACGCCCGTGCCAAAGGGCCGCGGGTCGGGGCTGCTCCCGGGAGCGGCGTTCCCCGGCGATGCCGGCACACGGCCCTGCCCTGCCGCACGGCCGCCCCGCACCGCGGTGCAGCACAGGACGCAGCACAGCCTCCCGGGGCTCCCAGCGGGGTGGGCGGGCACAGCTCCGCGGAATGAGACCCCTGGCCCGCACGCACACACCGACACAGACAGGCACACACACACAGGCACACACACACAGGCACACACACACAGGCACACACACACAGGCACACACACACAGGCACACACACACAGGCACACACACACAGGCACACACACACAGGCACACACACACAGGCACACACACACAGACACGTGCGGTCGGACGCTCTCCGCACGCGGACTCTGCGGAACCCCGCACCGTTCCCGCGCCCCCCGCGGAAGGGCCCTCCGCAGCCGTACGGACGGGCGCTGCGCGGTACCGCCGCTCCCCCTACGGGAGCCCCGAAACCCCCGAGGGCCGCAGCTCGAGCCATCCGTCGCCCGCGGCCCTGCCCGGGCCGACCCGCTCTCACCTGCCGCGCCACCTCGGCCGCCGCCATCGCTGCCCGCCCGCCACAGGGCCCGCCCCGCCCGGCCGGGCGGCTCCGGACGCGCCCACCGCGCCGCCTCACGGGGGTGGAACCGCCTCGTCGCCCCGCGCCGCGAGCCCAGCCCGCGCTGCGACCGCACGCCGAGACCCCGCGCCGCTTTCGTGCTCGGTACCGCCGGTCCCCGCGCCGCCGTCGCGCTGCGGGAGGCGAGGGGTTACGATTCCCCCCCGCGGCAGCCGGCGGTGGTGCCGACCGGGCTGCGGGCGGGGCCGGGCGGAGAGCGGCGGCGCAGCGGTTGGACGCCGTGGGGAACGGCGTTAGGGCGGGGGAAGGCGGGGCTGCCGGCTCTTCCCGTAGCGCTGCGTGAGAGCGAGGGCGGGTATCGGCCGCGTGCGGTGCTGGAGGACGGCGATGAGGAGCGGAGTAGGTCCCACGGCTCTGGAGGAAACGGTGAGCAACCTGCTGCTCCAGCTGGGCTGCCGCGCTCCCGGAGCTGCGGGGATCCGCCGCACGGAGCTGAGCGAGCGGGCAGAAGCGATTGCCGAGCCGTTTCCCATCTTCTACCAGCCGTCCTCGCTCAGCTGGGGGGCCAGGCGGCTGCAGGCTGCTGATGCGACACCGCCACAGGGAGGGCTGGGGAACCGCAGGCCTGTCAGCCTGACGTCGGTGCCAGGGAAGGTCAGAGAGCGATTGGAGTGCAGTCACGCGGTGCTGCACGAGAATACCGGGGAATCGGGTCCAGCCAGCATGGCTTCCCGAAAGGCAGGTCCTGCCTGACCAACCTGATCTCCTGTGACCGAATGACCCTCCTGGTGCACGAGGGAAAGGCTGTTGATAAAGTTTCCTAGACATCAGCAAAGCCTTTGACGCTGTCTCCCATGGCATTCTCCAGGAGAAGCAGCAGCCTGAGGCCTGGACAAGTATGCTCTCTGCTGGGTGAGGGACTGGCTGAGGGCTGGGCCGAGAGTGGTGTTGGATGGAGTCACATCCAGCTGGCAGCCGGTCACGAGTGTGGCTCTCCAGCAGGGCAGTACTGGGGCCCAGCCTGTTCAACCCAGATGAGAGCACTGAGTGCACCATCAGTTAAGTTTACAGATGACACCAAGTTGGCTGCAGGTGTCGATCTGCCTGGGGGCAGCAAGGCCCTGCAGAGGGATCTGGACAGGCTGATTGCAGGGATGAGCTTCAAGGAGACCAAGTGCTGCTCTTTGGTCACAACAACCCCAGGCTTGGGGCAGAGTGGCTGGCAGGCTGCACAGAGGGAAAGGATCTGGGGGCGTGAGGTGACAGCCAGCTGTGAAGGCTTGAAGCGTTTGATGTGTGGAGAACTTGGGGGAGAATTCAGCCCAGCTAGGCACTCACAACTCTGAGAACTCCCCAGAAAAATACTGCATGGATGCAGCCTCACACCACTGCAAATGGCTGATTCCCAAACTTTGTCAGATGGCTATTTGCCTTCTTTGCAGCGCTCAGCAGCAGGATGGGCTTTGCTACAGACACATCCAGCAGCACTGCATCATCAGCCTGCCGAGCAGAGGTGATGGCTGACACCAGACCTGCCCTGGAGAAGGGGACAGTGCAGCCCACACGGGCTCAGTGCTAAGTCACAGCCTCCTTCTGCAGTTCCCTGCAGTAAGTCAGTGACTATCAGAGGCTCTGATGGAGAATGCAGGATTTGGGGAGCTTAAGTGCTGACTTCAGTTTAATTCCTTCTCCCCCTTCTCCCTTTGAGTAACTTCTTAATACCATTCTGCTGACAGTGTTTTAAATTAAACCGCACCTGTGGTTGGCATCAAGACAACTTCATAGAGCAGTAAGAGCTCTAAGCAACACGAAGCAGGTTGTTCCACGTTTAGGGGAATGCGCAGACATTACGCATTACAGCCTATCCATAGAGCACAGATTTTCTAGGAGATAAATCTCTCCATTGTCCTTGATGTATTTTTCCCTCTTTCTCCTTTCCAACCTCATAGATGAAACTCTCAGCTATGCTGAACCCGCTTCCCCACCAGGATCCAAATCTCTTGCTCCAGGAGCTGCTCTGCTCCACGCTGTACCCAAGAGCTGCTCCTGGAGCCACGGATGCTGCAGGTACAGCTGTCTCCCCTGGATGACTTGTGGTACGAGGCAAGATCCCTGTAAGTCTTCCACATCACAGCCTGGGCTCCTAAAGGGCCACCTGCAGCTCACATGAGCACTTGTCCAGGGCAGGCTTTGCAAGCACACTGCTCAGGCCCAGGGCAGGCAGTTACAATATACAGATCTCACTGACCAGACTCGGCTTCACATTCACACACACTGCCTGGACAAGTGCCTTCATTGTTCTTCTGGGCATGTGACGTTTCAGCATCTGACCAGTATTGACTGCATGGCACTTCCTGTTCATCTGTGCTATTTCATCAATTAAAAAAATAATAAAACATGAGAAAAGCAACCAGTCTGAATAGCAACAACAGGACCCCAGCAGGCATTACTGTGTGGTCTACTTGCAGATGTTCAAAGGGTTATGTGGGAGGTAACAGCAGAGCTGGGAAGAAGCAGTGGCTGGCTTCTGTCACAGGGGACATCCGTACATCTATGTCAGCATAAATGGAACTGAGAAAGGGAACTGGAGAGCTTCACACAGGAGGCCACCTTATCCCAGAAGGCCCTTCTCAATGTGCTTTGCAGCTCCATAAAGTAAAACCAGAGGAGGTGAACGGACACAGCTTCAACAAATGGTGACAGTGCTACTTACTTTTTGTAGTAACATTGCTTAAAACTACCCAAAATGTAACCCCGTCTTCCCCAGTCAACAAATCAGAGACTGACACTGCACACACTTCAGCCACAGCAGCTGTGGGTCATGAAGCCTTTTTCAAACTTGTGAATGTCCTCTGCCTCTAAAAGCCTTTATTTTTTCCCCCCACTATTTGTCTAATAATATTTTCTCCAGACTAACTACTGTAAAATCAGCTTTGTTTTTTACCCCTTTTCTTTAAGAACTGGTGTGTTTGGTGCTCTGCAATTTACAATAACTGAGAAGACAAAGCCTCACCTGGCCGGAAAGAGCTGGTGAGGTTTTCCACACTAGGTAAGAATGTGTCTGCAGTAACACTGCCTTTCTGTGCTACCATCCCACTGTACATAGACAAAATCAGCCACTTCATTCAGGTCCATATTTATTAACAAGCCTGAACACTGTTAATACTTATGATGCCTGAAAGAAAGAACACTAATAGAACACAGTCTTCATGTTTCAGATGCCAAATGCTTTGAGATTCCCGTTAACAGCATGAGCCTGCACTGGCTCACGGAACAAGAACTGAGCACTGCAGTCCAGCACTACAGAAGGAATGACTTGAGGGTTGTTGATCAGCGTTTGGGGTGTATCAATCTGATGCAGAAAGACAAGTGCTATTAGAGCTCCCAGAGACAGTCTCTCTTACAAGCCCAGTTTGGTCCTTCTCCAGTGTCTCCTTTTGGAGTTGTACCTAAGACAAAAACAACGTCAGTTAGCAAAACACAGCTGACCATCCAGGTGGACTGAAAACACCTTCAATTAGCTCATCAGTGAAGGATTTCTACCATGCTACTGTGGCAGGCTGCCAACAAAAATCAACTTTGTACTTTTCTTTTAGTTTAAATTCCCATCTGTTTACTTTCTTCATTTGCTAACCAATTAGCATAGCACTGCAGAGAAATCTAAAGGCTTGAGAAAGAAACAGGTCTTAGAAAAAGATGCATTAGCACGTGAATGTTCTCCCCCCTCTTTTGGAGACAAAAAACCCCACGTACAGTCTGCCCAGTTATCATGAAACTTATTTCCTGCATGCAATTTGTAGCCTAAGACAAATCTAATCATTTTTCATGACAAGCTGTGTATGGAAAGTACACTCTTCTGGGAAGCTACATCAAATCATTGATAATGTATGTCCATTTATGAGCCACGGGTGATGTTCATGTTAAGGACAAACAGTTTCACCAACATACAGGTAAAACCAAAGACAGCATTAACAGAATTACTCTCAGCAGGAAAATGGCAGTACTCCCACAGAATGAAGCACTGCAATTGCAGCCTGCTATAGCACACAGTTTGGAAGGTAGATGAAGCACTTAAGTGCCACAAGACAAAGATTAAGAGATCTTGCTGCATGATAAAATATTACAAAGCAATATAATACAGTGAAAACAGAAGCTGTTTTTATGCTGGTAACTGAAAGACAAGGGGCACACAATGCTGATTTTCCTAAACGGAAAAGAGGTAACAGAAGCAAAAGGAACTCAGCAATTCTGTGCTGCCTCACTGCCGTAGCCAGCTGCTGGTACCGCCATTCTCCTCACTACAGAGGAGAAAAAAAGATCTGGGAGAAAAAATCCTACTCTCCTATGAAGTCTGGGCAGCAAAGCATGTGGGCTACACAATGAGCTGGCTGCGCAGCAACTGGACTGGCTCACACTGGCACCATCTTTTGCACAGCTGGCCTTTACCTGGGAAGCTGCAATAATCCCATACTGCGCTTTCTTGAATGTAATGCTTGAAAACAAGTGCTATAGGCAAAGAAAAGGGAACTGCTGCAAATTAGTTTCAGTCACAAATCAAGCACTTTATATTGTCGATTTCATCTCCCCTACACACCCGAGGAGACCTTTGTTCTTTATGCACCTCAGAACAGCTGTGCTCTGTATGTTCTGTAAGGCGCTGCTCCTTGAGATGCAGCAAGAGAGGGAAGGCTGTTGGAGAGAGGAGGAGCTGGAAGAGGAATGTCAGGAGCAGAACGGCTGCTGATGTAACATTCTGGAATAATTCTTCCACAGGTACACCTTATGCTTTCAGTTTCAATTAATTGACCGTTAATTAAAGTTGACTCATCTCAACAGCTGATTTACACCCATAAATACTTACAGAACACAGAAATGAACTCGAGAAGGAAAAGCTGGGAGCCCCAAAGTGGGGAAAAAAAAAACAAAAACAAAAACTGAACCGAACCTGTGGAGATGCGCCCCACGCACACCGTGTGAGAGCTGCATCCGTGCGCCACGGCGCTGCGGAGCGCTGCCGGCACACACGGCAGGTTCTCCAGCCTTCAGGCCGGTCCGTACGGGAACGTGATGCCGAGCGTGCGCAGTG